TCTCTCTCTCTCTCTCTCTCTCTCTCTCTCTCTCTCTCAAAGGAAGGTTATCATGTATCCTCCCGGCTACTCTGTGAAATTGGCCTTCATCTGTATCTGTTCTCCCTTTTCTTACTCTTGCAAAGCCCACCATATTTTCAAGTTCTCTAGACTAGTATAATAAAAAAGAAAAGGTACATGCACATATTTTTGAGGACACAAAGAAAAAAGGGGAAATTTTGTCTTTTTAGTGGCTGTGAAAGAGATTTTCAGCCACATATCTCCTTATGTGTCTGTAAAATGCTATTTTTTATTCCAAAATGTTGTCTTGAAAAGATTTGTCCATTCCCTGATACCTGGATGTATATGAAAAGTGGGAAAAACTATTCCCTTTGCCCTAGTACTATTTCTTTCCTTCTTTCTTTTTTTTTTTTTTTTTTTTTTAATGTATTTAGTGCAGGGTCTATAGGGTCTCACTACACAGATTGGGACTCCCAGTGTTCTCCTCTTTTCAGCCTCTCAAGCGCTGGGATTACAAGCATGTGCCACCATGCCCAGTCTCAACTGCAGGCTGAGCACACCCTGGGGGCGGGGCCGTCAGGGCAGGCTGGGGATCGAGCCCTGAGTCCCTGCGTCTGCCTAAGGAGGCGCTTTAATCAGCTGAGCTATCTGGCTGGCCCTTCAAGCATTTGATCCAGTGCAGACCGAGGACAGTCTTCAGAGGCAGTGTGATAAGACCCCCCGGAGAGCACGTGCCGCACGGAGCGAAGGGAACACTGGGTGTGAGACTCGTGAGGGTCTGTGCGGAGCCCTCCACCCGCCTGCTGCTGTCTTCCTCTATTCTCCCCATCCTGCTAAGGGCTCTAGCAAGCTGGACTGCGACACGGTGCTGACAGGGCTACTGGCTGCTGGCTGGGTACAGGCAAGAGGCAGCAGTAGGCCGCTGTGTGCTCTATCTGTGGCTGTTCCTGGAAAGGTCACATAGGACTGGCTGTGCCCTCGGACCCGAGCCTCAGTCCTGGATGCTCCAATTACCCAGAACTGCTAGTGCCTCAGGATCATGGCCCTAGGCACTGCCCCCACCCCTACTTCTTTTTTATCTTTTAAAAATATCTAATTTTTTGAAAAAAGAAAATTTTATAACAAAAAATAGATTAATAACAATTAATACACAGTGTATTATTGTCTTCAGTTACTCCGATTATAAGACACAGACCAAAAAAAAAAAAATACTCTCTTACAAAGAGAAACAGATATAGCACAAAAACTTCCTTTCTGTGAACTAAGGAGAAGCTACTTGTGCAAATCAAACAAATATATATGTTACAGTTTGTGTCTAATTGTCCCCCCAAAGCCTCATGCAGTCACAGGGTGGCTTCTAGAGTTTGTGATTAATTCTTGATCCAATGTGGGATTATGGGTGTGTTTCCCTTGCCCTGGGGTAGGTAATCTGCATTACAATGTGAGGAGGGGAGAGAGGCTTGCTAGAAGCCACAGCTGCAGCCCATCTCTTCACTCTTTGCTGTTTTCCACCATCATGAATAGCAGCCCTCTGCCATGTGCCACTCTGCCTTGGAGCCAGCTGAGTATGGACCGAAACCTCCACTAACTGTGAGCTGAATAAACCTTTTCTTCCTCAATTCTGGGTGTTGGGTATTTTGTGCCTGCAATGAGGAAAAGTAACTGAGATATATATATATAGATAGATAGATAGATAGATAGATAGATAAATAGATAGATAGATAGATATAGCTATAGATATAGATATATGTTTTGGAAACAATGGAATAAGTAATTTGGAGATTTATTTCAACTTCTTACTTCCTATTCATCTATTCTCTGGTTTGCTTTTTATTTGTACTTATATTTTGAGTTTCTCACATAGAAGAAATCACGAGATATTTAATGTTGTATATCTGATTTATTTTACTTAACAGGACAGGCTCAATTTGCAACCATTTACCTAAATTTCTTCAAGTTCACCTTGCTTTATGACTGAGTAGGACTCCACTGTATACAAATACCACTTTTCCTTTATCCATTCATCTGTTGATGGACAGATACCTGTTTTCAAATGTAACTATTATAAAACATGCTGCTTTAAACCTGGGTATGCATGTATTCTCTGTAATGGGCTGACTTTAACCCTTTGGGGGAAGATATGTAGAAGGGGGTTAGCTGGGTCACATGAAAATTGTTTAATTTTTTGAGACATCACATGGATTTCTATAACAGCACTCCCACCAATACTATCCGTTGCCTGTTGGAACCACTTCATAAGGACTTCAACACATTATTTACTTTTTGAAGAATTATAAAATACATCAAAGACACTTTTGATTATTTTACAACCACAACTGAGCATATATTCGCTGACATTACTCAGTGTTCAGTACGCACCCTTCGTAAACACCCTTCCTTTAATAAATTCTTTCACCAGTGTAAAACTCACACCCATGTTCTGATGTGATGATGAGAACTATATAAGCTTCAGTTTCCTTTTTCGTGCTGGTCTCAAGGAGAAACAAGGCTTAACTCCATGGCTATTGTCAGTAAGCGGTTTAGCTAAGTACATGCTAACCATTACTTCTCTGCTTTTTGGAATTGTTTGTTTGTTTGTTTATTTTTGTAGTGCCGGGCATTGACCTCAGGACCCTGTGCTTGCCAGGCAAGCACTTATTCTACTGAGCTATCTCCTTAGTCCCTGGAATAGTTTTAAAAATTAGTTCTCATCCTAGTTTGCCACCATCTTTTTTCACTACTTTTAATCTAAAATGTCATCTAAATCCTTTTCAGGGCAATGAGAAAATACATTCCACTTAACAGACATTTCAATATAAACCTCAGGCTGAGGAAGGGACAAAAATGGCCAATTTCACAAGGGCAATGTGAACAAAAGGCCAAGAGGAAAGGGGGAACCCACATCATGTACAGGTATCAAATCTATAACCTTTGCCTACCCCCCACCCACTGCAAGCTACCTCAGCCTGGATTCTGGTTCCTCAGCTCCCTGGGGGATGTAACAGATGTTCAGAGATGGCATGGACTTACTCTTGATGAGGGGCCCCCGTCTTGGTCAGCAAGGTCAGCACAAAAAACATGAAAATCACAAAAACTGCAAGACCAACCCAAAATCCAATCACAATGGAATCTGTAAGACAGTTAACAATGGCATTAGTGTTTCACAGAGCTTTAATACATAAATGATCAACAAATTTGAGAAGATGTCAACAGCCTCACTGTAGAAAAGGAGGAAGAGGGAAGAGTCTGTGGCCCTTGAGTTTCCATCTCGGATAAAACAGAGGCTGAGGCTCCGTGGACTCTTGGTTTCCACATTGCAGCAAGGGGCCTAGACCACAACGAAGATTATCTAGAGTCTACTTGGCTGCCTTGAATTAGAAAATATACTATTTTGCAGATTGCTATACAAACATTTCAAATGAATTGGTTTTAATTAATCCAACTATGTATTCTCACTTATGCCTAACTCAAGTCCGTCACGTCTTGAATACCACATACAAAAACCCTGAAGTGCTCTTCTTTCCTTTTGCCTTTCTTTGTACTTCATTTCTGTAAGCCCGCTGTATTGCTACTCATCTCACTATTTTATGAAGCATCTTTCCACAAAGATAGACCTAATCTATTTTTCCAGATTGAGTCTCCGCATGTAGATTTCTTTATATACAATGTCTGGTATCCTAGAATATAGTTCCTAGTATTTAATCAATAGAAATATCATCTCTTTCTTCTAATTTATCCTTACTTAAAATCCCATTTGTTTCTAATTGAACAAGGACAGCATGTCCATGTGTTTACCTTAGTTTCTGGCCCCAGCTTTCTCACACCCACACCTGTAGAGGGCCCTGTCTCTACCTGGCTGCCCTGTCTCAACCTGGTCACTCGGCACTGAGGAAAGGCCATCCATCCTTCAGAGTCCATCTGAACACCAGTCCCTTTACAACGCCTCAGCTATTCCTCTAGCTCCTACGCTCTTTCCTTCCTCTGATCCCTACTTTGTTTCTGGTTCTCCAAGCAGGTCACTCCTTTCCTACTGTAATAATCACAGACCTTGTCACCTGTAACTTGTGAACACGTCTAACATTGCTATGCTTCTCACGGCTACTCTTGTGGCTCCCTTCCTAAACCTCCATCACTAGCACTATGGCTATGACAACAGCCTCCTGCCTGGTCTCTGCTTCAGATTTCATCAGTTCATTCCCCAGATGCAGAAGGACCCTGCTGAGACCCAAGACAGAGACTATTCTGCTGCTCCAAACTTCTAAATGACTTCACACCCTGAAAGCCAAAGTTCTGAGTATGAACCTTGCCCTGGTCTCGGACCTTTCTGACCTCTCCTACTGTTACTTGCCTTTTATTTACTTTACTGTCACCATGCTGGCCTCCATGTCATTCCTGGAACATGCCAGGCCACCCGTGCCATACAGCTTTCTCTGGGGTGTCCTTCCCTCAGACATTGTATGGAGTCTCCTCTCACACTTTCTTTGGGCCTTTTCAGATTTCTCCTTTTCAATGGGCCTTTACATAGCTACACTATTTATATGTTTATCTCTACACCCACATCCTCATTCCCTAATCCCTGTGATCATCTGATATAGTTTATTTAGCTAATCTGTTCTCTCTCTCACCAGAATACAAACTCCGCATAAAGAAGGTATTTTTTTATCTTTCTAGTTCACTGTTGCATCTCCAATTTTTGTTTGTTTGTTTGTTTTGTTTTGTTTTTGTGAAACTAGGGATTGAACTCAGGCCCTTGCGCTTGCCAGGGAAGCACTTATTCCACTGAGCCATCTCCCTGGCCCTTTGCATCTCCAGTGCTAAAATAGTTGTGCATGAAATAAATAGGTGCTCAATAAATGCATTAAAGGACTGAACAGATAGTCACTCAGCTAGCTTCCAATGTATGTCAGACATATGTCCACTTCTAATACATCATAAGGTTTAACACTTGATTCAACACTGAGAATAAGAAACAAATCACCATGACTAAAGCAGGCTGTTTCTCAGAAGAAAGACTGCAAAGAAGTACAGGAATTCTCATTCTAGCAGACAGAGGAACTTACTCTAACTAAAGACGTAGCTATTGTTCCCATGTATGGCCACACAGGATAAGTGAAGGTAACCGTTAGTAGTTATTCCTATTCTCACTTAATGCTTTTCTTTGAAATAACCTTCTATTCTTTTGAAACTTAAATTAACCAGTTTTATATTTTCCTCAGCAGAACAATATGCCACATTTGAAGGTTAGAATGGATTTTAAAATGGAAGAGACTGTACCAATGTGCACATTACAACAATGGATTTAATTTTGTCACTTTCTTGTATATAATGGGGTTTTTATTTTTTTTTACTCTTCTCTAGGGCTGATATTTTCAGGTTCTTGACACTAAGAACATCTACTTATATTAGTTCTGTGACATGGGAAGTCAGAACTGCTGTTGTGGTTTGTGTCTAGGTGTCCCCCAAAGCCTCACGTGGTCATGGGGTGGGCTTCTAGAGTCTGTGATTGATTCATGGTCCATGCTGGGATTATGGGTGTGAGTGCTATGCTGCCCTAGGGTGGGCAGCCTGTGGCAGAAGGGAGAGAGTCTTCTCGAACATGCCTCCCTTTTTGCCCTTGTAGCTGTTGCTGTCTTCTGCCACAACGAACTGCTGCCCTCTGCCATGTTGCACCTGCCTTGGAGCCAGCTGATTATGGACTGAAAGGTCCACAAACTCTGAGCTAAATAAACCTTTCTCTATTTTGGGGCATTGGGTACTTTGTCGCAGCAACAAGATAAAAGTAACCAAGACAACTACCTTGGGCATTTTTGTATTTTCATGATGGGAATGTCAAAATCAAAGCACTCCTCATTAGTCGCACGGTTGTTAAAGTGGGTGTATAATGTGTCAGAGCAGTGATCTGCATTTTACATGACTTTTTCAAAGCTATAGTCATTACTAGAATATAATAGGCTCACAAAATGTTTTCTCATTTTTTCCTGGAGATGCAAAATTTTAACATCAGACCTGTCTTTTATGCGCCCAATTTAAGGAAAAAAGGATCAAATTGACCAAAACATAAAGTTGATGCAAAAGGTCACATTGTTGGGAAATAAATGGCAATTTGCTTCGTCATTTTGATTTCCACTATCATTTATAATAAGCAAGCATCCTGACCTAAAGGTTATTCCAGAAAAAGAAAAGATCAAAGCAAGGACGTTTTCACACTTAGGCCACAAGAGCCTCCCATCAATAGCAGTATATCCTAAGAGTTTTTGCGTACTTTTTATTCCCTTAAATAAAAAAAGGCAACAATAAAGGACAAATGAAACAATTTTGTTATTACCTGGGGGCAAAATAAAAAATATGACTCAGTTAAGGACTTTTGCTTATGGAACAAAAATAGAAAGCCTATTCTCCAAAATAGAAAGCCTGGTTCTCCAAGAAATACCTAAAGGAACAAAGGTATTTCCTTTGCTACATTTATACCTCTAATTCTGTTATGTTTTCTGTTTAGTTGTCCCCTCAAAGCCTCATGTTAATTCATGTGGCAAACTTCTGGAATTTGTAATTAACTCATGATCCACTGGGATTATGGGTGTGAATGCTACACCCAGCCTGGGTCAGATAGCCTGAAACACAACTTAAGGGAGACAGACTTGCTCTCTGTTGCCCCTGTAGGTGCTTCTCCTCCCATTTGCTCTTGCTGTTGTCTGCTGCCATGAACTGCTGCCCTTTGCGATGTGCTGCTCTGCCTTGGAGACAGCCGAGTATGGACTGAAACCTCCACTAACTGTGAGCTAAATAAACCTTTCCTTCCTTCATTTGGGGTGTCAGGTATTTTGTCCCAGCAATGAGAAGAAAGTAACTGAGACAGATTATAACCCCTTTTCTGTTTCCCAATGCATCCCACCAGTGTGGACAATGATAACCTAAAGTTTGTGCAGTGCTGTATAAAACAACTGAACATCTCAGAAGTATTTATAGGACATCCAAGACAGCAATTCCTGTCCTTCTGGTAACAAAACGAGGATGCTTCATGCAGACAACATCCAGTTAGGATAGGGGTTGAATAGTAATATTCACAGAATTACATTCCTTGTTCTATGCCAAATCATTATTTACCCCAATAATGTGAAAGAGAATTAATGCCTAAAACATGAAACTAATAATGGTGGCCAGCTATTATCTGTTATTGTGAATATGTATAGACTGCTCTCCACAGCTCCAAGAAGCCAATTGGATTTAAATGATGCTATTGATTATGTATGACAAAAGAAGCTTTTTCAAATAATAGTTCTGGATTCTATTTTTGTACATATTTTTGGTGATTCAAACATTCATAGTTTGGGGGATCTGGGATACTTAATGCTAAAAAAAAAAGTATTGTCTGAGATTGTTACCAATTCACATTCTCTCGCTAAAGAAATCTTTTAAGTTTTTCATCAGTCAGAATCACCAAGACCCCCACATAATACCACCTATGTCTTTGTGAAGAAGGGTGTTTTGTGAGGTGTTAGAGATAAATGACAGAGTTCAATAAGAAGATGGAAGGTTCAAGGGAAGCAATCACTGTGGGGAACCGTGCACAACTTACATTTATGAGCCTTCAATCCTTCGAAGGAAACTGGTCCAATCTCATAATACTCATATTCCCAGGTGTAGTCAGATTGCTGGAAGGTTCTGTTAGAAATTAACCTCTGGGCAGACATCTCCACCTGCACAAATGGAGAAAGGCAAGTACAAAGGCTATCAACTCATTCACAGCTACAGTTACTCTAATCATTTGTGAAATGTAGGAATTCAGGAACAAAAGCCTCCAGGAGCTTCTAACCCTGGGTCAGCAAAAGGTTCTCAGCACCTGCCAACACCTTCCACCATGTGGCCAATGTCTTTTATCCCTTCACTAGTCTGCAATATATTTGAATTCAGATACTACATCTTTTTGTGAATTTGCCTCAAGGAATGGCATGTAACAAATATGCAGTAATTAATAATAGAAAAAAGAGAAAGAGAGAAAAAATTGTAAAAAAAATATCTAAGGATATAACTTCAGCCATACCACACATACCTGTGTGAGTATGCAAATCATCTATAGGAAATAAGTAAAATCAATGTCAACAGTAAACTAACTCAGCACACATCTATTACATATCATTAAATACACACAGTCTAAGTAGAACAAGATGGAGTGAAACAAAGAGATATGGATAGCCAGAGCTGCATAGCAGAACAAGACCCTCAGTAAAGGACCCCTTATGCCCACTTCTTACCCCTTAAGTTTGTCATATTTTCAGGTTTTCGTAAGTATAATCTTTGTTAATGGTGATTATTTTGGCCTACACAATTCTGACTTCTTTGAAAGACATGGCAAAGGGAAGTAGGGATTCTAAAAGAAAAGTCAATACAGTCTTAGTCCAATTACTGTGCAGCTACTATGTGCAAGACTGCCCTCTGCAGGGAGGGCAGAGACAAGGGAAACACAGACCAGGTTCCCACAGGCCTTCCTTCACAATGAGGAGATGGACAAGCAGACCAATAGCAGTAATGTAAGGCAAAACCTAAGAGAAACACCAGCCAAGTCTGAGATTCACCAAGCACCCTCACTGCACTCACCCTGAAGAGCTTTCTGCAGTGGCCTTCTCCTGTATCACTGTGGGTCAGAGCCAGCCACAACTACCTGGAGGGCAGAACTCCCAGGATAGCTAAGGTAAAATCATCACCATCCTTCCTCCCTAATTGTGAGTCTCTCCCTCCTCACCCCTTCTTCCCTGTCCCCAGCCCTGGCCACATAGAAGAGATCCCTCCACTAGTATTTGTCAAAGGGTGAGTGCTCAGACCCAGAGCTGCCTGGCAGTGTCAGAAATCAGAGTGTGACTCAGAGGCCCAGTTAGACAAATCACTTCCCCAGAGGCAGAAAAGACTATGCCAATTCTGACTTGGAAAAGACACAAATTACAAGGAAAGCTGACCTTTATGTAAGCATTCAGCTCCCTTTCCGACACCTGCAGAGGAATAATATAAAACCATTATCACAGCATCATCTTTGGCCTTTTAATTATTTGAACATGAAGCACTTCCCCTCAATGATAAAGTAAATTTCCTCGGGAAATGAAAGTTAACAATGCAGACTTAGCATCCTAAGTATCCTCATGTACAAGCACTTCCCCTAGCAGGAAAGAGCTGTGACAAAAGCCAAGGAGTGTTCGGGGCATGGTTCAGAAATGGAACAGTGTGATAAAGCTGATCTCCAAAGGAGAGTGTCGAGAACCCCATACCATACAAGAACAAGACACTGGCTGACATCAGGCTGCCAGGGCCTTCAGCTTTGCTGCATCCTTAGGCCATAATTTCAGTCCTGTTTTGCTCATCTGCAAAACTGACCATGGCTACCTGAAAGTATTACTGTAGGAAGGACACCATCATCACCGGCCTGCACCACTTCTTGGATCTCCTCACTGGCTTTTCTGCTTCTATTTTTATTTTTTTGATCAGTGAGTCTTTATTCATTGTATTTTCCAAGGGAAAAAAGAGCCAGAATGCATGTTATTAAATGACTAGAAACATGGAAAGAAGGAAGGAAGGAAGAAAAGGAAAGGAAAGGAAAAGAGAGGAAAGGAGGGCGGGCCTTGGTATGGAAAAATTCACCATCAAATATACAATCCAGGGATGTCACCAAAGCTCAAGGGGACTTAAGTTGAAGAGTGAGGGGAAGCAACAGTGAAAGAACAGGCTAGTACTGACTTTCCTCCATCCCTCCACTCAAGGCTAAATTCAAGATTCCATACAAAGCTTTGGTTTCTAGCATTAAAGTTATTACATCATCCTCCACTAAATAGTTTTGTGGACACTTTGAAATTGGTGTCTTGAACCTGTATAAAAGTTCCTGGGTAACTTGAACAGAATATGCGTCCATACTCCGTTCCTGGTCTCCTGACCACACTTGCTGCGTAGAAGGCCTCTGATCGCTTCTCTCCAGGAGTGACTTTGGTTCTTCCAAGTATCACGAAATACATCAAGAAACAGTGCTGATTCAGGAGGTCAGAAACAGGAGGAAGGGGCTTCTTGCTCTTTCAGCCTTCTGCACAACTCATTTAAGCACTGCAGAGATACCCCAAGAATCAAATATGATTGGTGGAGGCATTAGGTTTACTTTTGATAGAGAAGAACTGTGGAGTCAAGCTCTTAGGACAGAGTTTATATAAAATATGAACTGGGGAGAGGGGAAACACAGAAGGAAAGATAGCTCAAGATCTGCTTCCATCCTTACCCTGTGCTCTCCTGTCCACTCAACCTACTCTTTTTGAAAAGAGAATGCACTTGTCCTTCTTTTGTGTAAAACTTTTAGTGGCTTCCCATCGCTCTAAGGACAAAGTCAAAAATCCTTAACATGCCCTGCCTTCTCCTCTTCCTTCAGGCATTTTGCTTCATATCCATTCATATGATATATATTTACTGTGGCTCCTCAAATACTTCTTGTTCTCTGTACACAGGCCTTCCCTCGCTTCTTGTATGAACACTCTTCCTACCAGCCCCATCCTAACCCCTCCCTCTTTCCCTGCATATTCTTATCCTCTAGGTCAGACACTGGCAAATTCAGATTGTCACCTGTTACATCAGTTAGGATCCACTAGAGGAACAGAACATATACGTGATGCATAAAGGATTTACGAGGTTGGCTTACAATGATCACCTACAGTCAGCTATGGAAGAACATGAAAGAGCTGTCTGTGTGCCTGACAGCTGGAGGATCCAGCGAAAACTCCCAGGCCTGGAGTTCACTGCAGAGTCTCATGCAGGAACACTGGCTGCAGGGTCTGAACTGGAAGCCCAGATGGATGCCCAAGGGAAACGGCAAAGATGGGAGCTCTTCAAGGAAGCAGAAGTAAGATTTCCTTCTTGTTTCTCTTTTCATTCCATCCCCCAGCTACAAGGTTATTATGGGTCTTCCTGCTTCAGTCGGTTAATCATCCAGATACACCAGAACTGTGTACACTAATCCATAGAATAAGAAAACATGTTTCTTATTCAAGTTAACACCATAATTAATTATCATTCCCATGTTTGTGTATAGCCCACAAGAGAAGGATATGCTTGCTTCTAAACATCTGAAGAAGCTGACTGTCACAGTGCACACCTGTAATCCCAGCACTCTGGAAGGCTGATGCTGGAGGATGGCAAACTCGAGCCCTGCCTGGGCAATTCAGTGACTTAGTACAACTGCCTCAAAATAAGAAATTTTAAAAGACCAGGTAAAGGCATTAAGTTCAACCCCCAGCACTGAGGGAAAAAAAAAAATCATTGTGTGACACTGAACATTGTTGAAATTCAAATATCAATGTCAATAAGTGTTATGGTTTGTGTCTAGTTGTCCCCCCCCCCAAAGCCTCATGCAGTCATGGGGCAGACTTCTAGAATTTGTGATTAACTCATAATCCACTGGGATTATGGGTATGAGTACTACGCCCAGCCTGGGGCAGATAGCTTGAATGCAACTTAAGGGAGACAAATGCTCTCGGCTGCCATTGTTGCCACTGCTCCTATTTTGCTCTATGTTCTTTGCTGTCACCATAAACTGCTGCCCTCTGCCATGTGCCACTCTGCCTTGGAGCCAGCCAAGTATGGACTGAACCCTCCAGTAACTGTGAGATAAATAAACCTTTCCTTCCTGCATTTCGAGTGTTGGGTATTTGTCCCAGCAATGAGAGAAGAGTAATTGAGATAAAATTTGTACCAGAGAAGTGGGGTCATTGCTGTGGCTAAATGTGACCACGTGGATTATGAGCTTTTGGAAATTGCTTATGGGAAGAGATAGGAAAGGTTTGGAGATTTGCCTATGAACAAAGAGCTAGAACAGCTCTGGCTGTTTTGCATGGGAGATTCTGGTCAGAGCTCAGAAGACCAGAAGGCTGATATAAATCCTGCCTGCAAAGACCAGGCTGGGGAGGTTTCTGCTGGGAAGAAGGACTGCATTGGTTATTGGACTCCAGATCATTGGTGTTTTTGTTTGGCAGAGTTTGTCTACATTTTGCTCATGTCCAGAGACTTTGCCTGAAACTGAGATTAAGCATGGTAGAATGATTAACCTTTCAGAAGAAATATCAAAGCAGTCAAATATTGAGGGAGTGGTATGGCTATTGTTGGGGGCTTTTAGTTAGATTTATGTTAAGAATCAAAAGCAAAGAGCCCAGAAGGATGATTTAAAATGTTGTGAGCTTGGCCAGAAAGGAAGCACCAATAAAGCTGTGGACTGCAAAGATAGAGTTGAAAGAATCTCTCCTGCTGAGAAGGAACAGGAGAATCAAAAGGATGGCCTGAAGGCATCACAGGAGGTGTCAGCTCTCCACCCTTTGCAGCCTCAGAACTGCAAGAATGATGGACTTTGCCTTGGGGAAAAAGCCACAGAGTCCCATGTTCCAGAACTGTGACAGCAGCCTCAACAGGTTCCAGAATGGCACGGGCACAGAGAATTTATTCTTAGGGATCAGAGTCAGAGTGCTCAGTGATCCAGGCACTTGACCCCTACAGCCAAAAAAGCAGAAAGCCAGGGTATTGCTCCAGCTGGCAGCAGACCTTGGCATCACCCACATGGCATTGCTTTTAGGTGCTTGCAGGATGCAAGAGTTCTGAGGTTAAAGAAGGCTTCCAATTGATTTTGAAAGAAGGCCTGGGAGGCCTCGCAGTGTGCCCCTGAGAGGGCAGTGTGTAAAGCTCTGAG